TATATATATATATATATATATGAGTGTTAAGAAGGATTCGAGGCAGTGTTGAGGCCATGTCAAATTGGCTCCTACCCCTTTTATAAGTCATGAAGTGGATGTTGCCCTCTCAAGTCTCAAAGCATTATCCCACGACAATATCAGAATTTTAATTATTTTCACTGCACCAATCCCTCTACCTAGTTATTATTTTCATTTCTAAATTATTAGGTAAAAAATGAAATAATAGGACAAAACCTTTGCTGTACATATTAATTGCAAGTTTGAAGTCATGAATAATCATCGCCATAAATTTGAACCCCAACCAACAAATTTAGCCTTAATTGTACACAACCTGTTTCTTTGGTTGAAACCTACTTACCAACCACCTTTTCTTATTTTTGCGGTTGACGATCAACCAACTATTAAATGACACAGCACTCTACCCTGCCGGCTCATGAAAAATAACAATGTATACTTCATTTGTTTACACGTACTATTACCATGGATTTTAATACTTGTAGAAAATCTCAATCGATCAGTGAGATGAATATGATAAAGTATATAAGTAAAACATAATCTTAACTTTACAAATTTATTTTATAAGATTGAGTTTAATTATAATTTATTTTTCAAAATGATATAATATATACCGTTCTGTAAATTTTATATTTGAAATGAAAAATAATATAATTAAATTATTTTTTTCTTTAATATATTTTTAATTTTTAAAATTTAAGATTTATGATCTTTAAAATTTAAAATTATTTTATTTACTTTTTTACTTTTTAAATAATTTTATTTTAATGTCTAAGACAACCAATAAATTAATGAATAATAATAAATTGAACCAGTATTCATTGAGTTTAATGTAATATTTTTATTAATAATGATATTAATAGATAAGTTTCACATTTAAATTATTAAAAACATCTTTAAACCTTTCCATTTTTTTTATTCTTACAAATTAATTTGCCTTCATGTCACAATCTTGACCTCAATCTATTTCAATCGGGTAATGAAAAGTAACAATGTATGCTTGATTTCTTGACATGTATACTAGAATGAATTTTAATCTTTTATTCACATCAATACAGTTGAATCATTTTTCTCTTTTTTAATTCTTAAATATATGCTTTCATATGTCACAATCTTGACCTTTATATGTCTGTTCCTACCACGTTGGTGCATGGAATAAGGTGCATGTCATTGCTATAAATTAAAACACACCCACTTCATCTACAAACACACATCAGAAAGACAAAAAAAATGGGAACCTCAAATGACCATGATGCTCCTCCTTCGACTCTACTTCAAGACCTTAATGTGACGGTCCAAAAATCCTCCATGGTTTTTCCCTCGAAAGAGATTGAGAGAAAGTCCTTGTTCTTGTCAAACATAGACAAGGTTCTCACCTTTGACGTGGAAACGGTTCACTTCTTTGGTGCCCACAAAGACTTCCCTCCCCACGTTGTGGCTGAGAAGTTGAAGAGTGCCCTAGAGGATGCCCTTGTGGTTTATGACTTCTTGGGTGGAAGATTGAAGGTGAACAATGATACCAAAAGATTAGAGATGGATTGTAACCCTGAGGGAGCAGGGTTCGTGGTGGCTTCCAGTGGGTACAGATTGGATCAAATTGGGGATTTGGATTATCCAAATCCAGCTTTTGCACAATTGGTTCATAAGAATAAGGATTTTCTTAAACAGGGTGATGTCCCACTTTGTGTTGCCCAGGTACTCAAAAATAATCCATTACATCATTTTCATTTCATTTCATTATTAATTTGTAATGAAATTGTAAAAGGGAATTAAGATTTTCTTTATAATATCTTTTTAGCTGAAATTTATTTAATCAAATGGGAATCTCGTTTTTTTGTTTGACGAGTTTTATTTTTAATTTTGTAGTTCTTTTTAATAAATTTTAATTAACTATAAAAAAAAGTGTATTAGAAATAATGTGTTAAATATTCTGTTAGTTGTGCTCCTGTTATTTTAATACTATATAATTAATTATAATGATGAATATGTTTTTTTATAAAAAGATAATATTTACTTTTAAATTCAAAAAAAAATTACTCCCTTTAGCCTCTTATTTATGGAAATTTATAGTATGTGGTCCTCAAAATGAGAAATTCCTTTTAATGAAAGATAAGAACTATACATATGACTTGTTTTTACCGGAGATCGGTCGTAGGGGATCTGCTGGGTAAGATCGGCGAGCCTCCTTCACTGGATACGCTTGCTGTTCCAAGGCGGGGTGGTACCTGCAAAAGAGACTCCGATGCTAAAGTTAGTGTTTGTAGGTGTGTGAGTCTCGTATAAGTAATGCACGTACCTTTGTGTGGATTAAGGTTTCATTGGGCCTTGGGCCTAAGATCGGTTATGACCTATTTGGATGCCGGGCTGACGTCGCCTAGTGCGTGTCCGAGGTCACTTCGCGCTGTGATGTCGAGCTCGAGCTCGGCATGGCGGTATGGATAGTACACTAAAATATTCTTACCGAAGATCGGTCGTAGGGGACGATTTGCTGGGTAAGATCGGCGAGCCTCCTTCACTGGGTATGCTTGCTGTTCCAAGGCGGGGGTGGTACCTGCAAAAGAGACTCCGATGCTAAAGTTAGTGTTTGTGGGTGTATGAGTCTCGTATAAGTAATGCACGTACCTTTTTGTGTGAATTAAGGTTTCATTGGGCCTTAGGCCTGAGATCAGTTATGACCTATTTGGATGCCGGGCTGACGTCGCCTAGCGCGTGTTCGATGTCACTTCGCGCTGTGATGCCGAGCTTGAGCTCGGCATGACGGTACGGATAGTACATGACTATTTCTATAATTAATTTATTTTTTAGAGACTAAAAATAATCAGTCTTATTTAGAATGACTAAATATATATTAATCATTATTTTTATTTCTTTTATGTTATATATATATATATATTAATTAATTAAAAGTATTTTTCTTAAATTCAAAAAAGACACAAAAGTCATTATTTGTTCACTTCAGATTTTAAATTTTTATAAACTTGTTTTTTATTAACACCTAAAACATCTCATGTTAATAGAATATGTGTATATTTTATAAATTTATAATTTTTAAATGATGCTTTATTTATATTATTCTCTTCAATATTCCAAAAATAATGACATCTTCCTTCGAAAGGATCATTCCTCTTGCTTTATTTATACTTAAAAGTTAAAACTATTTTGTTTTGATAACTCTATTATTGGGTGTCTCCATGCGAGAGCCCATATTTCTAATATTATTTTTTTTAAAAAATAGTACGTGGCAAATTAAAGCCTACAATACAGTTCGCTGTCATATTATGGAGTAGGTTTAATTAAATGTTTGTCTTTAATCCTATCCCATCTAGTTCGCTTTCGTATTATCCAGTGGCACGAGTGTTAATTAACTTCACATCCGTCCACTCTTTCACCATGTGAATATGCAATCTCTAAAATATGGACACTTAAATTTTAGTTTTTTACGTGATTAATTTTATCTAATAAAAAATTATTTATTTTTTTTTTTGTGAATTTTATATATGTATTATTTATTAAAACATAAAAATAAAGATAAAATTATTTTACATAACCTTTTTAATTGCGTAGATACCTCACATGAAATTGTTAAATTTCAAGGAAGTTGTTATTTATTATATGTATACCCATAAAAGGGATATATTTTAAGCATATTAAAATTAAATAGCAAGACTTGTTCAGTTTTCGAATACTCCTAATAATTAATCAATGAGATTTAACACGATGAAGTGGTGGTACAGGATGAGTGAGATGTTATAAATATTTTAGAATGAAATTTTATTTTGATGGATAAAAAATATATTTCTAATATACGCAACCATTTCAACTAAGAAAAGTAATTATTTTGTAGAAAGAAAATTATGAACTTTTTAGGTCATATTTGAATAGATCTGATGATAAATAGTATTATTAGGAGTCGGTTTAATGATAAAAATTAGAATAATATCTATGAGATCTTAATTTCGATATTTAAATTAAAATTTTGGTATTGCTATTGTAACTAAAAAAATTAGATAATGTTAAAACAAAATTTGGTCGATGAATTGATTATTAGTAGCACCCTCCTTCAATTATATAATCATTTTGTGACCAATAAAGTAACAATCTGTTTTCTTTCCTTTCTTGCAAAAAGCTAGCTAGGTTACTTCACCTTATCACCTGCTTCTTGTTTACATGTTTATTAGGACAACTAGAGACATCCATTTCTTTATGCTACATAATATAGCTTCTATTTTGTTTTTCATTCTAGCCAAAGTGCTGGAGTTATGTGAAATACTATCTTCGTCTCTTTATATAACACTCTTTTAGTCTTTTAACTAAATCATACACTTTTAAAAAAATTAGTTTAATTAATAGTATTAAATTTATCAATAGTTTGAATTTTTTTTAAAATTATCTCTAATGCTTCTTAAATTAACTTTAACTGTGTTTTATTTTATTATCCCCAACTAATTAATTCATTTTTAGAAAGAAAATAATATCAAATAGATGCGAGTTATGATGTATCTATTTATTTTTTCCAAAAGAAGGAGAAATCTTTTATTTCACAGTAATTTTAAGTATTCCTTATTTTTTGTCTAAAAAATTGTTCATTTAATAATTTTTTTAAAATATAATTAACGCAATTGTCAATTAAAAAAAGTCTAAGAAAAAGTAAAAACAGTATTATGATTATTTTATTTTAATGTAAGAAAAAAATATTTGGAACGTAATGATTAAAAAGTTTGTAAAAAATTTTAAACTATGAACCAAATTTAAATCACCTTAACTTTTAATTATTCAAGGAATTTAATTAAGAAAACTGGATAATTGTATTATGATAAGCAAAGTTTTCATAAATAGAAACAGCATTGATAGGATTATTCCAATAGTTAAAATGAATATAGCATTCGCAATATTTATTGGGTTTGGCTAACAATAATACAATCTACATATCTTCATTGTATATATATTCGTTACTTTTTCTATGCTAATTTCATTTTATATGCCTATATTGAGAAAAATAGCATAAAATTACACTAACATACTCAACTTTTTAATATATAGAGGTCTATATTAAACACTTCTAGCTACTCTTATCTTGGATATATGAGTTGGAAATAATTTATTTCAAAAGAATTTTTTTCCTTTCTATTCAATAATACAATCCTACAGTTGTTTCATTTAATTTTATTGTTCACCAACATTGACAATTCTTGATTTCAATATATAAGTTTGACAGCACTAAATGTTTGTCCGAAGTTAGATAACTGAAAAGTCGGTCTTTAAATAAGACTGAATAGCATCAAACGAAGTGGGATTGAATCAACTGATGATGTTTTCTACAGTTTATACAATTTTCTGTTTTTATTTTAAAATAATAGATTTTCCCCCTATAATATACTACAATTTTATTCGAACAGATAGAATTGTCATGAATTAAAAAGTTATTCCAATTTTTGTGCTTTTTCTTTGCTTTAAAGTAGTAATAGAAAAACATTTTAATGATACATATTCTAATATCTCTGAATAGTTTTTTCTGTATTTAATAATATTTATTATTGGATAGTCTCAATGTTTTTCTTCCTATTCAGAATCGCTCCAGGGGAAGGTACAACCGTTCGGAGTCCATAGCTACGAGAACTATTTTTTTTTAATTATATTTTTATATTCTTTTAAAAAAAATTAAATTATTATACCAAAATATAAAATGTGACATGATTATAAATGCTCATCATTTTTATTTTTATTTTTATTTTTGTATTACATTCATTAAAAAAAGTAAAATATATTTTTGTTCTATCTTAAATTTTTTGTTTTATTTTAGTTTTTAAAATTTTTTCTGTTCTACTTTAATATTTCAAATTTTAAAAGTCAATCATTTTGGTTCTTAAAGTAATTTATATATTATTTTACAGTAAAAAATAATGTAGAAGTAAATTAAACTATTTTTTAAAAAAAAATTGTTAATATTATATTATCTGAAAAATAATTTTTTTATTAAATTATAAATCTAATGCTGTTTGTAATTTTGTACCCTAATATTTTGTCAACTTTTCCCGTTAAAAAAAAAGCAATTTTAAACTTAAATGATAAAATCTAAATTGTATATATAAATTCATTTTTAGAGTAAATGAATCCCTCTTTTTATATATATATATATATATAAAGAAAGAAAAAACGTGTCTTCTTATAACCTCATGACTTTTCTAATTTTGTGAACAAAAACCCCACTCAAAAATGATTTGATAAAAATAATTAAGTACTCAATTAACATTAATTGTTAAATTCTGACACAGGTGACATCCTTCAAGTGTGGTGGGTTCGCAATGGGCATCTCCACCAGCCACACCACCTTCGACGGCCTCAGCTTCAAAACCTTCCTCGACAACCTCGCCGCACTCGCCGCTAACAAGCCCCTGCCTGTCACCCCCTGCCACGACAGGCACCTGCTGGCCGCCCGATCTCCGCCACGTGTCACCTTCCCACACCCCGAGATGCTCCCCATCTCTAGCCACCTCCCACATTCCCCCGAGTCCACCAACATCTTCGACGCCTCCACCGAACCCCTCCACTTCAACGTCTTCAAACTCACCTCATCCCATATCACAAAACTCAAGCAAGAGGCCACGTGCGGGACCACACGTGTCACGGGCTTCAATGCCATCACAGCTCACATATGGCGATGCAAGGCCCTATCCGCCGATGATAACCCTAACAGGTATGCTGTCATTTTCAAGAAGGTTATTATATCTTATTGTGTATGAGATATTCACACATGTTTTTATGTTTTTATATTTATATGATATTGTTCATTTTGTAATTAAATTTTAATGAAGGCGTTTTTAATTATCATGCAAAATTAGTATCTTTTTCATAAATTTTTATTTTTTCTCTTTTGTATATTATATCTTGATGTATATTAGATACTATATATTGATACTATATTGTTTACTTTATAATTAAATTCTTATTATAAATTTATTTTTAGTTATTACATAAAATATCTTATATGTGTATTTTATAAATTATTGTTCATTTTTTTTTTATTATATGTTGTTGTTTATTAGGTATTCGCACATATTTTTATATTTGTATAATATTATCCATTTTTCTTTTACTTAAAGTCTCCTAGATTTATTTTTGCTTATCACGTGAAAAATGATCATACTTTATAAACTTTTATTTTTTATTCTTATTTTAAGGATGTAAGATTTTGTGTGTATCCAATCAGGTCGTCCACTATACTGTATGCTGTGGACATACGCTCAAGGCTGAACCCTCCGTTGCCGAAGTCATACACGGGAAACGCGGTTTTGACGGCGTACGCGACTGCCACGTGTCAGGAGCTGGAGGAAGGACCCTTCATGAAGGTGGTTGAGATGGTGCGCGAGGGCGCGGCGAGGGTGACGGACGAGTACGCGAGGTCGATCATCGATTGGGGACAGGTGAACGAAGGGTTTCCAAATGGGGATGTTTTGGTGTCTTCGTGGTGGAGATTAGGGTTTGAGGAGGTGGAGTACCCGTGGGGGAAGCCCAGGTATTGTTGTCCTGTGGTGTATCATAGGAAGGATATTGTTTTGTTGTTTCCTCCGGTTGGTGGGGGTGATGGGGTGAGTATTATTGTGGCTCTTCCTCCCAAGGAAATGGAAAAGTTTCATGGGCTCTTCTACAAGTTCTTGCGTTGAGACATGATTGAGGGGAATGTATGTGTAGTGGATGGAAAAATTGCATGGTGTCTTGAACGAGTTCTTCACTTTAGTTGAGGGAAATGTGTCCCTCCCTAGCTCTATTGATATCTTTATTAATATGATATCCTTAGGTTTTTAATGGTTGTTTTGTAACCAACTATGTTTTTCTTTATGGTTTGATATTAATGATATATGCAAATGATGTAGTTTTAAATATATGTGAAGATTATATTTTTAACTAGTGTGAGAGACGACACTGATTTTATTTTATTTTGTTTAAATTGGTGTTGTATTCTCTTTTCTCATGTTGTATAACTATGAAAAAAAGTCACAAATTTATAATCTGTAAATAACTAATTTAAATTAATCTTTCGCCAAGTATTGCTCAATCAATTTGTTTGATTTTTTTTTTGGCTAAACTTTGCATTTAAGTTTTCAAAATTTTATACTATATTATTTTCTGTGTTTATATATATATATATATATATATATATATATATGGGACAAAGAGAATTATTTTTTTT